GAATTAATTTTTTTCCTGGCCTTAAATGTTGTGAAACTATGAGGCAAGTAGCATAAGCACTCTGACATTGCTGTGTGCATCATGATAATTTTTGGAGCTGTTTCCCCATGTGGCAGTCTTCATACTTACTAATAGGCTGACACTTAGTGAGAAGAGCTTTCAAATAATTTTTCTATTTAAAATGATTTGATACTTATCTCATGCCAAAAGATCAACATGGTATCTAAGCTTTAAACAACTGTTTAAAAATTACCTTATTAATTTGCTAAGCTGGCAAAATGCAAAAGATTTATTTTTTTTTTCAATATGTATTTATTCTTTGCATCTCACTTGATGGCTCTGCTCAGCACGAATTTTGTTGCATGAAATGGGTGGAGATGATCCCAAGCTAACTTGAGACTGGCTGTGAATCCAAAATATGCTTGTGAGCAAATACAGTGCAGCGACTCTAACTCGTGCTCTTGTCAAAGAAAGTGCACTTGAGTGACAGTGCACAGTCTGGTCAGTCTTGTAACAGCCTCTGCACTCACCTGAGGTAGCAACCAGGGGCTGTGACCCTCAAATGGACTTTGCCATTCTCTTTGACCCTTGAACGGGGCAAATTTCCACAGCAGCTTTCAAACTAAAGAATCTTACCAGATTGTGTAAAAGCATATAGTTCATTGCGGCTAAAAAGGAAATTTTATGGAGAGATTCTGGAGGACTAACACAAGCTGAGAATTTTCATACAAGTAAAATTATCCATGTGAAGTCCTCTCTTCCCTTCAGGATACCATAGTTACTACCATTTCTGTATCGGAAATGCAAGTTCCAAGTCACAACTTAAAAATATGTTCAATCTTTCTGCAAACTCCACTGGATGATTTTGCAGGCAACATTTTAAATAATGGAAGCTAAGGGTGTGGTTGGAAAAAGTTGCTGTTTCATTTTCTACTTTGTACTCAGGAGCAATGACACTTAACTGGAGTCAAGTAGGTCTTTACCTCAGCATGACTAGTGTTGCAAAATTTTGAGTTTTCTCAAGAACCTCTCCTCCTGAAACTGTAATTGCACAAGAACCTCAGTTTTCTAGGTCAGAGTTGGAAAGAGAAAAGAGAAAATATAATGTGAATATATCCCTGGAGGCAATTTCCCATTACTTTCAAACCAACACATTATCATTGCCTGTATAATTTTAAAAAATAATTCACTTTGTTAACTTTTGTTAATCATTAAACTGTTTGGAAGTCTCACCAGCAGAAGAGCAGTGTCTGTGTCATACTGAAGTGTGAATGGCTTTTAATGGTTAGATCAATTTTCTAACCTTAGTGTATTCAGCTGAAGCCAACTACAGCTGGAACAGAATATATCATCATTGAAATAGTTAGCAATGAAATAATCCAAATAGTTTATGATTTCAGCCAATCTGGAACTGAAATTCAGGCAGTTGTTGAAAAATCTAGTAACCTATCAGCCCCTTCCAAAAGTAGATTTCTTCCATCTGGGAAAAAGTCTTCATAAAAGCTGATATGTCTGGGAGGAACACATGGAACCAATTGATAGTGTCAGTCTATTTAAAGCTTTTAGCAACTGGGAACTTCTGCAAGCTCCTACTTGTGAGCAGTTGCAACCATAGCTTCCAGATTAGTATCATGTTTGAGAAGCTTGTCTTGTGGTGATCTTATTAGTTGTAGGTCTTGAAAGTGAGACAATTTAAAAGAAAATGAATCAAAAGCTTTTATCACTGATTTCCATGACACCATGTAGCAGCTGCATTTCAAGCAAACCAATGCTTGTTTGTATTACCAGACAGAAGTGCATAAAACATGCCTTAATTAAGCCACATGCTTAACCCAAGGTAAGCAAGCCTTTTAACAAGCTCCAGCTTGCAATGCTCATTATCACCAGCACTGGCCTGGTGTCTGAAGTGGGAGCTAACCACTAGGAAATTGATAGAAAAATGACAATCACATGCACTTCCTGTGCAATGATCACCCTTTAACAGAAACCAAACTGCAAGGGAGGAGTCTCTCTGCCCACTTGAGATCTGTGCCGTAAACCCTCCCCAAATCGTAGCCAAGATACAGGGCATTGAAATTATTTGGTCCCATAGTGTCTGCTATGATGGGAGCAGCTTTCCTTGGAATGCAGAGAAGTTTTGCATCTCCAGAGGATGAAGGTGGGCAATGGTGTACAGATAATGTATCATAAAATCATCCCTATTCTGCTCAGAGCACTTCTATAATTTTGCTGATTTCTCAAGAATTAATTAATAATACCAGCTTCTAAGCTAAATAGCTTCTCTTTCTTTGTGTTTGTATCAAAAAATTTTGCTCATCTCAGCAGTCAAATATGATATATTTTTTTGGACTCTGGAGACAAATAATTTTGAGTGCAGTTCTGGTTTTCCTTAAGTAAACAAGAAAGAAGATGTCTTTAGGGTAGGTATTGCTTTTATAATATGAAGATAATTTTACATATCTATGTGCAATAGCATCAATAAGCTGTGTATTTGTTGTTCTTTTTAAAAAATACTGTGCTGAACAGTCAAAATATGTTATGTTCTACGTGGAATATTATTTTCCTTAAAATGATGGACTGAGGTCCATCTAATCTAATTTTTCCATCATTTATAGTATAATTTCAGTGTAGTGAAAATGACAACTTTCACTCTCATTTGTCCTTCTGAAGATCTTAATTTCTTTGTAGTGTTTTTGTCTTCTTCTTTTTTTTTTTTCCTGTTTGATGATTTGTATTTAATAGGGCATTTTACTTTTGCATTTTCCATTCTGGTATAAATACTGTTGATTAATGCTGGAACACTGCCAAACAAGCTTGCAGTAGAAGAGCTGTGCAATTCTTAAATGTTCTACATAAATATTCCTGACTTGGAGCCCAGTCCTCCTCAGCACAACTTCCACTGAAGCTGCTGATCAAGGGAAGCCGTGGCCATCTGTGATGCTAAGGTCAGAAGTGTATTGCTATGTTTTCTAAGAAATTTAATTATTCTTTTGAAAAATAAGGTCTGATACAGCTTGGGAATTTTTTAAGAAGGAACTGCATAACACACTGTGATATTTTTGCAGGGTACAGAACTTATGGTCTTAATTCCCTGTGACTGTTAAAGGGTGATAATTGCTGAATGCCTTCTGTTACTTACTTCCTTTCCTCTTGTTAGCTTGGTTTGACTTAAAGACAGTCCCAGTGACATCTTGGCTGAAAACCATGTAAAATATGGTAAGTGGGTGTCTGAATTAAATGGTATTGTTTTCCTAAAGATCATTAAAGTATCTGCTAGCACATTCCATGCTTACCTAACCCCATTGAAAGAACTGACATACTTTTGTAACATTTAGTTGAAAACATATTTACTCAGGTCACAGATAAGGTGACAGAGAAAGCTATGGAAAGTATTAAATTAATAAGTCCATCTGCCTTTTAATTCTCATGTGACTGTTATTTTATAAGCCAATCTTGGAAATGTTGTGCTTCAATTTGAATAAAGTCAGTCTGTATCAGGATAAAGTCATGTGTATATGCCTTGTATGGGCAATATGACTCTGAATTAAAACATTTCCAGGGATTTCCCATTCTCTTCAGCTCATTTCACAAAACCATGAGATTTTCCAGAATAATAAAAAATTATGTAAGTAAGAAACTAATATGTCTGGATAAATATTTGGTATCAAACCTCCAGGCTTTCTATTCTTCCCATCAGATGCCTTCAGAGCCTTAACCAATTTTCATGAGTGGGAAGTGAAAAATCAACAGTTAAAATGTGAATGTCCAACAATGCTTTTTAGCAATACAGCCCTAGCCTGTGGTTTAGTTCGTGAAAACAGCATAGCTGATAAAAATAATGGGAAGTTTGGTGAAAAACCTAAGGTAGACAATATATTCTATTGCTGTTTTCTGTGAAAAATCTTTCAGTAACCTTAACCCTTCCTCAAACTCTCTACTGCTGTTTTTACTTTGCTCCACTTTTAGGGACAGGCTTAATTGACAATGATTTTCACACAGGCACAGTGAGGCATGAAGAAATAACATGGCAAGAACCACACAGGTGAGGTCTCAGATGCCTTTGAGGAGGATTTCTGTCCTCTGCATGAACAGTAGAAAAACTTCTGTAGCTGCTCAATACGTCAGATTTTGAAGAGCAGCTGCCAACTGTTCAAACATAATCCATATCTAAGATAAAATAATGATAGTCCAAGATTGCAAAGTTACTGAAGAAACAGCACTGAATTAACAAAAATTACTTTACAGCAGCACATATTTACCACTGGTGAGTCTAGCATAGGTCCAAAATCAAGAGATTGCTCATTGGACTTTGTATTTGAATCACATTTTGGGCCAGTGCCTTATGAGAGCTCCTCACTAGAAGACAAGGAAGGTGAGAAGGTTTGCAGTTGTTTAAAACACTATTAAATTAAAGCAATATTTACTAGACCTGAATTCTGATCCATTCCAAATTATCCCTTCTCTGCCAGACATTTTGTAGGATTAATATTCTAACACATTCCTACAGTTTTCCTAAATGTGCAAGAAAAATAATCAAAGGAAAAAAGAAACGGACTATTAAGAGTGCGAACTGGAGTGGCACGAATTATCTTTGATATGTGCTGAGCACCCCAAAACAACCTTAAAAGAAAAAGTAGTGAAGCTAAAGTGGTTTCAGGTGGCTGCAATATCAACTCTTCTCAAGCAGGATTTGAACTACGCTCAAGGGGAAATTTTAATTATGCTCTTCAGGCATTTTGCCCCATGACATCAATTAATATTGACAGAAGACGTGTGCATGCATGCCTATCATGGACCTCATCCTGTCACTTCATGCCACCACTGAGAACTGGTGTCAGCTGGAAACAGGGCCTTCCGACTCATTCTGTTAGTGGAAAGAGTTTTATTCTTACTACATTAAAAGAGTCATTGTAATGTTTTTGTCTGTAATGACAAGGCAGCAAATGTTGTTCAAATGATACAGAACAGCCAAGTGCTCAGATTTTATTCCTTTTTATATGGACAAGTGGACACAGTTTAGCTGTTAATAGAAGTTAGCATAGAACAAGGACGTTCCAGTGCAAGAGATAAAAAACCCTGTGTTTTAATTTGAAACACAATAATAATCCATAAATATGTCTAATCCTTTCTGAAAAGTATGAGTGCCATGCCCCAAGTAGGAATTTTCACAAGCTGCACTGGAAACAGATTTGGTTTTTGCAGCACTGAAAGTAGTTGAATGAAGTGACAATTGCAGGACATAACACTGAATCAACCTCATCTTTAGGTGAGAGCTGGAAACATACTTTTTCCAGGGAAAAAATTGAGGAAATTTTCAAATGAAAGTGAATTTGGGAACTCTGCCCTATGACACTAGACAACACCTGCCTGCCTTAGGAGTACGAGAAGGTAATGGGAAAGAACGTGACTCTTTAAAGAGGGAGGAATTATTGTCATTGCTCTGACCAACATATCGAGAAAAGTAATCCTTCTCTTTCAGAAGCTGTTATTTGCCAGACAAGTAGCTCCTTGAGCATGATACTTAAATATTCTAAAAGCATGTGCTCCATTCCCCTAAAAGGAATGTCTATATCTGATTCAAGATTTTGTATCCTTATCTTCATAGGCTAAGTCAGATGTACCCTACTAGATTCTGTTTTTTGGTTATTTAATATAATTGAAAATTGGGTGACAATGTGTGTGACACATAATCAGTGCCTAATAAATAGGCAGCCTGTTTTTACTGGCCAGATTCCCAGGGTGCAGATCAGTGACATACATTTCATTGCCTTTAAAGTCTTTTTAGGATCAAATAAAATTCATCCTTGCATAAAGGTCTTGTGCAGATGCTTTTGTGATAGAGATGGCTCTTTAGATCCCAGAGCAGCAGCAAAAGGACAGGCAAGCTAGCTCTGTGTTTAACATCCTTCACCCTTAGCTCACCTGCTGGTCCAGGCTGAGTGCTTGGCTCTAATCAGCTGCTTGGAAAAGGAACTTCAGGGTGCTCATTCTTCTGCAAAAGAAAAAAAAATCTGAAAGTATGCAGTGGATGGATTATGAGAAACAGTGATTGGGGCTTCTCACTGAGTTTTCCTCACAAATTTTCAGAGTCTGTACTTTGAGGTAAATCAGCCTTGAGTCACTGTGGATGGCTGTCAATGTAAGAGGAGAAAAACAGGATAAAGAGGTATATGCATTTTAAAAGAATTATTGAGATTTAGCTTTACTGTGCATACTGTCCAGTTATACTTTACTGTGCATACTGTCCACTTTTATCAGAATTTATGGAATGCTCCTCCTCCAAAACCAAGGTTTTTAAAATGACAAGTAAAGGGCCTTAGCCCTCAGGATTTCAAAGCTCCACTTTCTTCCTACATTTTTGAGTAACTGTGATGTGTGAATTCCATAGTATCAAGTATCCCTGCTGTTCTAGCAGTGTGTCTTACACTGCTAACAATTTACACATGGGTATCTCCTTTGCATATTTGGAAAATAACTTTGAAATGCCTCCAGAAAACATTAAGAAACCCTTGCTTTCTCTTAAATAAAGCCACATTGTTTTATTTTTGCTAGAAGGCAATGTTTAAAACTCTTTAAAATCTTTGTCTGTATAAAGATGTCACTAAGGTAGCCAAAGAGTGTATGTTAAAAGTTTCAGAAGGCAAATTCGTATTGTGCATAGTCCATTAGAAAATCTTTCCACTTAGATGAAGAAGATTTAGGATTTTTCCTTCTTGTATTAATTCAGATATTAATAGTGGAACACAATGGATATTTATGTAATGTGAGGATATATATTGCAGCTTTCAAAACCAGATTTTTTCCAAAGTGTTTGTCAAGGTATTTTAAACCTTTGTTGATTTCATTTTTCCGGTGTACTTAGAAAGAGAAGAGAAAATCTGTAAAAGCAGATATTATTCTCTTGTCTGCCTCAACCTAAATTTTTGGGGACTAACTTGGTCACTTTTTCCTTTTCCACTGCCTGTTCCAGACTTCATATATGCAGTTGATTCTGAATATTCAGCACTGCTTGCCTATGGGAAGGTCACTGATGAAAAATATTACACCAGCTTGATGGTGAGCCCCTGAACTGCTGAAGTCAGCATTTGGTATCCTTTGTAATATGACAAAATTGCTATTAAGTAGAAGTTGGAAAAGCTGCAATAGTGGCTAAGAATGAAAAAGGATAACCTGAGGAGCTGTAGGATGCTCAGTCAGATATCAAGGTCAAGCAAAATAATCAGAAATACTGCTGTGGGATGTGAAGATTATTAGCTGAAGAGCATAAGCGCAATTAATGTCAGTCAACGTGATTGTTTCTTTTAATTGAAAACCACTCATGTCAAATAAACCAGTCTATCAAATAATCATGATTCCACAAGGAGAGAGAAAAACTTCTTTATTCTAGTAGTCTTTGTGCTGTGTGTTGTAACTACAAGATAGTGAATCTCAGTTTGTGAGGTAATTTAAAAGTATTAACAACTCAGCTTCACAGTGATCTATTATCCCATGTGGTGATTAGCTTGCAGGTAGCTCCTGCATTGGTGCTGCAGCCAACAAATGTCAATGTCACTTTCTGAGAATACCTTGTTTTTCAAATATAAAGTTCTCTCTTTGTCATCTCTTGGCACCTAACATGCAAGTACACAGAGATATATTGAACTCATGTGGTCTCTTGTCTTTGCACGCTCTGCAAAATCTCTGCTTCCACTATAATCACCCCATTATTCCATTGCTCCAGAACACCAGTGACAATTTCCTTCCCACCTGTGAAGCCAAACAGACCTGCTGTTCTTCTGGTAACAGTGAAATTGCTATTTTGTAATTGTAAGTAAAGAACTGAGAGAACCCTACAATGTTCCTGCAACTCAGGATGCATCTATACCAGTGTACAAAAAGAAGAGAGAAGGGAATCTCCTGATCTCCCCTATTTATTGGTTTTTGCTTCACTGTGTGGAATGACTTCAGAGTATATGAGAAAGATTATTTCCTGTTGAATAGAAACTGAAAGGATGCACTCTGAGCACCAACATGCGTTAAGTTTAGGGTCATAGTTATAGAGTTGATGTCAGATTGCCAGTACCAGCTACTTTGCACTGCAGACCTACCACACTGATGCAGTCATGTCTTCCAGATTTCCTCAAAATCATGTGTCACATTATCAAAAATTAGTTAATACCTAAATTTTCATGGCTGCATTTTTATATCTTATCTTACATTGCAGTCTAAGATATATGTGGTTGCCTCAATGGAGCAAAATTAATTTAGCTGATAAGGGAAATGGGGATGAAGGTATTACATTATCTGAAAAGGATAGTTAGATTAATAGATTGGTTAATAAGAGACCATATTGAAGATAACAAATTAACCAATAATAGTCGAGAAAGCTGAGTGACCTTGTTGGCAGCTAAAGGCCCATCTCAGAAAAGGAGACCTATAAACAATTAGTATTTATATTTTTTTTTTCAAGTAGGTGGTTTTTGATAGACAAGAGGGAGAAAAAAGCCCAGTTAATTAAAACTCCTGTACTAATGGTGAGCACATATCCCTAACTATGTGTGACTCTGAATGTCAGTCTGAGAGTATTTATTAGAAAGGAAACTGCATAACGGAACATGTCAATTCAAAAATAATTTTACAACCAGTTTAATGTTTTGAGCCAGGGTCTCATCTTGAATCTCTCAGAAATTAACAGACCTTCCGGGATGTCTGGAGTTACATATATTTTTCTCAGATCAATTATGATTTTTAATTTGAGGGGTACTAGTAGATTTTTTAAAAACTATTTAGCACTTTTTCTTCTTGCTCTGCCCATTTTTGTGCTTATGCCAAGAAAAATAGTATATGAATTTAAGATTTTGAAGAAGTTGGCACAGAGTTTTCAGTGGCGGAATGTCTTGGCTCATTTTATTAAAGCAATATTTGCATCAGCTGTAGGCCTGCCCAATCATCTTAGCTATGAAATCTGTAAGGACTTCCTGCCTTGTCATGATGCCAGAGGTTCTCCTGACTATTGAGAGCCCACATTTTCCTGAACTTCTGACTATCAGCTCTCACATCATCCTGTGCAGTTTCAGCAGACTCACTCTGTAACTCTTTGGAATCCTGTTCAAAAAATATATTTTTTCAGTCTACTTCTAACATAAACGGCTTTGTTGAATTAGATCAGCGACTTCAAGTCTAGAAGAATTAAATTAGATTTAAAATAAAATGGTGTTTACAATATCGGTTTGCATAGTAGAAAAAGAAATACTGAAAGAAGTAAAAAAAAAAGTCAACATCATTCTTGCCAGAGATTTTTTCCAGCTGCCCTAGCATCCCAGCTAGGATTTGTGAGGCTGCCTAATGGCTTCTTTGATTTTGTTCCTAATATTATTCCTGACCAGAGTTCTGAGATATCAAGGTAGGAACAGGGAAGTGTAATTGTTTCCTCCTCCATGTTTTTTTATCCCCTTACTTGCATTGGGTAAAAACTGGATAGTTTTTCAGTTTCAGCTTTCTTTCCTTCTTACTGCCCCTGTACAGTGGATGGTGGAATAGGTTTTCAGAGGAGTGTTTCTACTGTAGGGTGCTTTTGATTTTTTTTTATTTAAACATTCTATGTTATTTGCATAAAATTTATGAGTTACAGAGAAGAACAGTTTTGGGGCTTCCAACACACTATGTTAGAAACAAGTAACTGTGTTTGCCAGATCAGATTTTTGTTTACATGATCTGGCTGATTGTATAAGTGCTTTTCTGTGATAGTAGATGGGTTTCCATGGATCTTAAATACGTCTCCCTTTAGATGCACTTAAACTGCTAAATAGGCAATCCTAGTCATCAACACTAAAACTCTTTCTTGATAGAAATTTTATTTCCATATATTTTGATGGCATTTTTTTTTACTCAAAGAGTCAAACCCCACCATGTTTTAGTCAAATAAAACTTAGATGAGCTTTTACCATATTTTAAAAAAATTTGATTTGTCTACAATAATTTTTTTTTTGGAACACCCAATGAACACAAAAATTCTGTTGCTTACATGAGTCTTGTGTACAGTATGCTAGACAGGTAAATTGACTTTATTTGAAATGCTTTCATCTTGAAGATTTTCCAGGACTAGAAGCTGTGTTTTGAGTAGACAGCTATTGCCTCATGGAATTTAATCTTGATGGCAATCCTGGAATAAAAATTTTGTACGTGGGTGTGTGGCTTTTGTTCATAGGTTTTTGTTTAGTTCCAATGCAACACAATAAAATAACACTAAAATAATAAAAGGTTTTCTATGAGTTCTAATAAAGCATTTTATTTTTTCTAAAATGCAACATCACCATTATCAGCTTTCAAAATCTGATGGGTAGACATGTCTTCAAAGGATTTCTGATTCACACAAAAAATATCTGCAGATGACTGCAGAAAGCCATGTTGGTGCTGCATCATGCAAGCATCTTCTTGCAAATTTCTGTCTTTACATTTGTACTTTTGTTTTTTGTTTCTCCTGTCCTCCTTCCCCAATCAGCATATAAAAACTGAAACTATTTAGTAAAAGCTAAATGATCAGAAGAAAAGTGAGCTTAAAGCTCCATTAAACAAGGTAGCACAAGTACAAAGGCATAATACCAGGCTATCTAATTGAAAGATCTTTTCAGAAAAGAACTAAAGAAAAATCTCTTGCAAGAAGTCATAAATTTAATTCTCCTCTTTCCAGAAGGTTGAGTTTTGTGTTCCAGAATCTCACATTAGAAATCTGTGTGTGTGACTCTCAGCACATTTCCTCTTTAATTGTGTCCTGTAGCATATTTTGTGTCCTTTGGGGTACAACCTCATTTTCAGTAAAGTTAAAAAAGCCCCTGAAATTTAAGCTTAGGGCCTTCTTCAGAGTTACATCTGGTCTCCTGGATGTTACATGGAGAGTTGGGTTAAACTTATCCCTAGCCTCTGGAGACTGCATAATCAAGGGCAAAAGTGCTGCTGCCTATGGGGAAAATCATTCCTCTTAATTGTCCAGATGTCAACTGGAGCAGGCAGGTATTGTGTAACAGGAACTATTCTTGTTTCTTTCTCTTGGTGCTATTCTTTACCTGACATCATGTACTGTGGAACTAGCTATACATTTACATAAGTTGATCATACCTTCATAAAAAATACCCCCCAAAGCACAGATGCTCTCAACAAATAAAATACAAGTAATCAAAATGTGATTCAGGCATCCACCTAAGAACATTACCATAGCAGCAAGGGCATACAATAAAAATGTAATAGTCATAGTTACCAAGTAAGTATTATAAGTGAAGGAGTATACATGCAGTGTGGAAAAAGCCTGCTAGTGGTTTGCGTACAATAAGTGGTCATCCCTAGGGGTTTAGTTCAGCTAAAACATTTCCCTTCAGGGATTTGAATTCCATAGCTGACTAAGATAGACATGGTAGGTACTCTGAGAAGTATCTGATCCTTTATTTCCACCAGAAATGGGAAAGGGAAGTCACAATAGAGGTTTAAAAAATAGTTTGTATTACCAGATGTTAAAAAATTGTTCAGTCTCTGGGAACTAACAGAGAATCTCATTTTCAATTGACCCTTGGAAAAGTTCTTGATAGCAAGTTAATAGAACACATTAGAACAATAAAGGAACAATTTAGTAGTTGTGTATTCTAACGAATCTTTTGACTATTGCTGAATGGAGTACATAATTGTAGCAGATGTTATCTTGCATTTTGTCAAATCAAACCTTCCTGATATGTTGCAAATATGAAACACTGATTCATATTACTTTAATATGGCAGTGAAAGACTTGGGATAAGTTGGGGAGAGCAACCAACTTTTAATTAATTTCATTTTCCTAGTGTTGAATCTGACAATTTAAAAGGCCCTCGGGAATACGGAAATACCTCTGCTGGACCTTGAAGTGGTCAGATCATTAATTCTGCATCTCACTTTGAGCTTTGACAGGTTTCACACAATTGATAGAATGATCTATTTCACTGTAGTGGTAATTAGCTCTGGCCAGAATCAGCAAAGATAAAACATTACTTTTTTTTACATGTGGCATTAAATTCCGACAAAAACTTAAGGAGATAAGTCTTGGGGCTTTTTCTCCAAAAAAATAATGGTATCAGCTGCTTGGCTGTTGAATTTCTGTGTTAAAGGCCAATTCTATATTTATTCTCCAGTTTTGTGGAGTTACAAGTAGAACTTGGTGCGGAGACAGCACAATTTCGGATTGGCACATTGCCTGCTTTACTGAGGGAGTCAGTGATCTGCCAATGCAGCAGATTTCTGGGGTCTAGTGAGTGGTTAAGGCTCTGGGTTGCCCCTCATTCCTTAGCATGTCACCTTCAGTCAGGAACAGAGGAGGCAGTGCCTTGTTTTATGTAGCAGGGTAGAGCTCTCCTCTGTCACTGAGAAATCCTCGCGACCAGTACAATGCCTTGTCTTCAGGCTCTCTGAGGGACTTGGTTCAAACCTTTTTGAGGCAAACTGAAGATTGTATTTGACTTTTAAATTGTGCTCATTAGCAGGCTCTTATCGCCTGTTCTAGCTTTACTTCTATAGTCAACACAATTAAAACCTCAGTAAGGCCAACTACATTTAAAAGTACGCATTTTTTTTTGTCACAAAGGATAAAAGTGTTTACAACTGCAGATTCCTCCCCCCAGTAAATGCAGCTCAGAAAACTTAGTTCTGGATATTAGAACCTCTTGGCTTCTTTCCATGTTGCACATTATCACTTGTCACAAAAATACTGCAAGTGAAATGATGCCCTTTTGTTAGGGCCACAGTGCAATTACCTTAGTGTATTTGGCACTGACATGCTCAAGTAGATTAAACATCTCCACTGATATAGGATAGGGAATGGTACAGCAGCTCATTCAGGCTTAATTGTATTGGTTTTGCCAAGGCTGTAGAGTATAAAACTTTTCACCAACGTGAACGGACATCATTCACAATGCTCAGCAGGACTAGCTTTAGCACACTGTCAGAGATGATTACTTAGAGGGCAGAGTTGTGTATTAAAGTCTGCTCTTGCATATGTTACATCATATTTATGTGGAAATGAATTTTGAAAGCATATACATCTCTGTCCTTATGACATCTGCTGGGCTTCTTTGCCCTTTATCATTGCTAGATCTGTTGGTTCATCTAGCTTCCTTCAAAGGTTCAGCAGGATGTCTCAGTTGCATAAAGTTTCAGGAACCCCATCACACTAACAAGCATTGCATGTAATTCACAGTGCAGAGCTTAGGTACAAATTAGAAAAGTTCTTTTAAAAATTCAAATGCTGTTATACAAAAGAATTCATCAAAGTGTGAATGTCAAGAGCAAGATTTTGCTATTTCCCCCACAACGAGCTAAGCAGTTCACCTTTTCCACTCTCAGGAAGAGGACAGCTTGTTCCTGCTCCTCACAGCCCCAGGCCACAATCTGGCTGTCAGAAGGTTTGTCTGGGGATTCAGAGAAGGAGAAAAAGATGTTAGGCAGGTTTCTTCCTCCAGCTGCTGTCTGCAGATCAACACCAGGCTTCTGCCAATGTTCGTTATCCCATTCCCAGTGTTCCATCTCAAAAGAGATGCTAGTTGGCTTAGGATGGGGAAATAGAGGTCAAGCACAGTCAGACTTTGATTGTGTGGGAATGTTTGGGTTTTATCTTGTATCTTGTTTTATCTTTAGTTTATTCAACCCTATCTTTATAATAGTGCCAGCAATTGTTCTGCCTCTGTATACTTTTGACTGCTCTTTCCAGTCTGAATTTCAGTGGTGGAATGGGGCTTCAACTTTGGAAAAAAATGAATTCTTTAGGAGACTACCCTCTCCACTAGGGGAAAAATATTACTAGCAAGATGGATGGAATATTAGTGTGACCATGATAAGTATTTGAAGGAATAGCATAGCATCTGTTTATAATTTAATGTGTCAATGTCTGCAGGAGGCCACCTTACCCTTTTGTGATCTCTCCCTAGCTGTAATTACAGCTGTGGTTCTCTGGTGAGTTACCTGGAAACTTTTTATTTTAAGATTTTCTCTAACTTGGTTATTAATCTTCTGACAGTGCAGCTAGTGATAAGTGCCCATGATTGAAGGTGATGCGGCAAGTTGCCTGAGGTTCAAACAGGAATAGACACTGAAACCCCAAATATCCAGAGGAATTAGAGCGAGCAGATAAATTTTATTGTGGAACAAAAGACTCCCTGACTCTCTGAAAAAAAAACTTTCTGAATTATTTTTAAGATCATATTTTGGCAAAGGATTCTTCAAAATAGTCTGACTATGAAAAGAAAAAGTCAAGCACATTTCTTTCTGTCAGATATAATTCTCATTACAGATTACAGTATTACTTTAATCCAGGGTAGGTGATATGATGTATGGTCAAGGAGGTGACAGCTATTACAAGATAATACTGCATTAGTTAATAATGGGTCTATGGTAGAATTTTTGAAGAAGAAAACACACTTGACTGTTCATGTTACTGTTAAGTGAATTAACTATGATTAACACTATACAAGCACTCTGAGAAAAAGGGCATGCTTATACCCAGCCTCAGTATATACTGTACAATTTTTTTTTTCCAAGGACATGAGAATGAATTAAACTTAGCTGTGGTTGGAAGAAGTCTAACCAAAAGGGCAGTATGTGGGCTACCATTGAGACATTTGAGACTACCCCCAAAGATTTTGACAGCCATGTCTCTTTCTTATTTACCTTTATTTAAACATTTGAATTCTCCTTTGCTGGAATGTTTTGCTAGTGATTTAGAAGAAAGACCTCAGTGTTAGCTGATTTCCTGAAGAAAATTTTCAAGAAATCCAATTTCAATAACAGATGAACACATTAGATTAGGATATTTACTCCTTCCAGTTTTTTTGACATATGCGTATTTAATAAACTTACTCTTATGGTAAAGAGATGTCATTACCAAAAAAATCTTTGAAAAAAATTCTTAAATATATTTGAAAAACACAGCAAAAAAAGGTCTTTCACTTTTTTAAACTAATAGAAAGTAATGAATATCTTATCTCGAGTTGAAAATTGTTTTTTACATTATTATCACTACCACTCTATTCTTTCCGAAACCCTTTACTAGTCCAAACTTATAGGCATGAAGGTGTGTGAACTAAGCATAGCACAGCAACTTCAGTTCAATATTTGTTCTCATGTGTTTCATTTTTATTATGTCTAGGATAAATTACATATTTGATTCAGTGATCAGAGTTTCTGATTTTTAATGCTAATGTTCTGGTTATCAGACAACTGTATTTTTCATTCTAAGTCTGGTTTTGTTTTTTTTGGTTTCATTTTGGTTCATTTGTGTTTGTACATCCTAATGCTGAAACGTGGAAGACAATGAGATGTCCATCATGCATTCTGACTAAGGGTATGTCCAAGTGAAACTCTCAGGAGCATTTTCCTTGCCCTACTCCCACTGGAACAATTATAAATATTGCAAGAGAACAAAAATCTGACAAAACCTAGAGATATCCCCATTGTGCATTCTAAGCCCAGCTTTTGACAAACTCATTATGTTCAGTTTTATATTTGTTAGAAGAGATACCTACACTGCTTGGAACCAATAACCATTTAAGAACTCCCAGGTATATCCTACTTAAACTTGTATCAACTCTACTTTATTAATTTTTTTTCATTCGTTTCAAAACTGAGACCGCATTGAGAAAACAAAGACTGTTTACGGTATTTTTTAATCCTTTTAGAAACATTTTTTTTTTTCCCTAGGGCTGGGAACCTAATCTGAAGAAATTAAACAGGTATCCATATATCAGAATGCTGTGTCATGAGTAGCATCCCTGCTGGCTTAGGTATCCAAACCATTATTGCTATGTTTCCTCAAAATGAAATCCAGTGTAATTTATCATATATTAGTTCTCATGTCTGTGCTAACTCATTCTGAATTAATTTATGTGCCTTGAGGCAGCACCACATTGTGTAAAACACAATTGTGAAGGAGAGAGATCTACCTAAAAATTTCATGTTGAATTATCAAAAGTGAACATGGAAAAAAGATTTAGCACAGTATAATTTCTGGTATAGAAAGGCTCTCTTGTTCATGTTTAAGACAAAATATATTCAGATACTTTATGATGCTGGAGAAAAAAAAAAACATGAAATAAAAATAATATCTATGAATCTTATATTTGAATATACTTTCTCAAAATGGTGCCATGAGAAAATTCAGCCTGCAATATAGAAGAAAAGTTCCACCCTGAAAATATAGAATTACTTTTGCAAATATTAATTGCCGTGTCAAACCACAATCTGACAATACCAACATGGAAATAGAGGTAACCAAAGCCTTCAGAGCTCAGATTGCCGTGCAATTTCCAATAATAAGAGTGGCAGAGATGGAGCAGCAGGAGAGTAACATGTCATTTAGTGCTTCCTTTGTGGTTGTGCACAAAACCTAACATCAATAATCCTTCAAAGGAATTATCTTACCACATACAACTAAATTGCATTATATTCAATAAACGATAAATTCACTAAAAGATGTAGGTGGTAAAGAGTAGCTCAAATATGAAAGGAAGTATTATTTTTGTACAAACTTTTCCTTAAATGAAGTAATGGCATAATTTTGCTTTTTCTAGGTTTTGTGAAAATTTTCCTAAAGATTTGACTGTGGCTAGAACAAGGCCTATTGTTAGCCATGTGTAGCTGGAAAATGAGAAAATAGGGCACTGGAAGACATATTCTAATGAATCTAAACCAGTGTAAATTCTCAAATACTCCCACCCCATTTTACTTTTTATTCAATGTTACTCTTTCCACAGAAAAGTAACAAAATTACTCTTTGCAGTAACAAAATTACTCTTTGGTGCTTTGCAAAATTAAGCATGCAGACATTTATTGATTCCTGAAGTATGGAGTCTTGCAGCTCTCTCGGAGTTTGCCCTTTCTGCAATGTAAAGCTAAGCAATTGAATTTTAGAGGTGTTGGTGAGGAGATAAAAGGTATTCTGCATCACTCCTGTGGAGGTAAGCTCTGACAAAGAAAAGGGTTAAAGAAGAATGGGAAAGCAGGGTAGTAACATCTTTAAAAGACTAAGGATACTGAAGGAATAAATGTCAGTGACTGTAAATGTTTAATCTGGAGTTTGCACTTCAGACGTTAATACATCAAGAGAATTTCTCCTTCTTCCATTCCCCATCTGATTTTATCATAAAGATTATTTCTATTTTTGTGTGCTGATAAACTGAAGCTTGACAAATAATTTATACATGGAAAGAGAAACAGTAGGTTTTGGTGGGTTGGTTCTTCTGGGTTTTTTTTGTTTTCATTTTTTTGACGGCCCATGTTGCTCTGTGATGTTTCCTCTGCAAACAGAAAAGAATTTTAGCATAGTCTATATATCTCACCTGCTAATTTTTCCTGTTGTTTCAAGCTTGTTTTGTCTAGCTTTCCTTTGTATTTAATGCATTAAATTTGGTATTCTCATAACTATTAAATATATTAAGCTCCTTGGACAGTGGTATTGTAGTGGGCTGGCCCTGGCTGGGTGCTAGACACCCACTAGAGCCACTCTATCACTCCCCTCCTCAGCTAGACAGGGGAGAGATCACTCACCAAATACTGTCATGGGCAAAAATCAAATTGCAGATATTGATTGAATTTATTACTAACAAAATCAGAGACTGATAATGAGAAGTAAAACAAGGCCTTAAAAATACCTTCCTTGCACCCCTCCCTCCTCAGCTCCAGAACCTGGAGCACTGCCTCTCCCTCTTTCTCCACTGACCTTGGTGTCTGCAGACACCTCTGCCATATTCTCACTCTTCTCTAGCTGCAGTTACATCTGGTTTTTGCCTTCTTAAATATGTTATCACAGACATGTAACTACCATTTCTAACTGGCCCAGCCATGGACAGTGGCAGATCTGTCCTGGAGCCACCAGGGACTGGCTCTGTCAGACACGGGGGAAGCTTCTGGGAGCTTCTCACTGAAGCCACCTCTGTGTCCCCCTGTGCTACCAAAAACCAGGTCATGCAAACCCAGTATTCTTTTCAGAGGTGAACAATACTGAGTTTAGAGGGACTGTAGTTTCATGCATTGAAACACATGCAGATGGCAAAGACAGACAAACTTTAAGGCCAAAGGCTACAACATTAGCATGGCAGGTATTGGTTTCTTGTCAGTGTGGTTTTGCCAACTTTCTTGTCCTTGAACAGAGTAAATTCTCTCCACTTGCTCATAGGATTGAGTTGAATTTTATCAGTCTCTTTCCTACCTCAAACTTTGCTGACAAAGTAAAATGTAAACCAGAGGTCATGCAAGCAAATTATCTGATGAGTATGCATTCTCATTTCCTAACTCTGTTAAACCTTTAAATATATAAATTACATCTAACTGCACCATCTCCTTGATACTTTGCAGAAGACCAGCTGCTTTCATCAGATCTCTTCCATTTTGTTTCTAATAGGGAGGAAAAAAGTGTTAAAACACAGGCAACCCCCAGACTCCAAACTGGTGTACATGTTCAAGTAGCAGAGGCAGAATGGAGGACATGCACAGCCACTGTCGACCAGTAATAGGATAGGATATCTGTCACCCTTGTGCCAAGAATGACACAAGAACAGATGAGAGACGCAGTGTAAAAAGGAAGAAAAGAAGTCTTTAATGGAAAGGAAATTTCGGCTTCAATAGACCAATATGATGCATTCTATTTGATTGGTTAGTTAATCACCCACCGCCCTCGAGAGGAGCAGAAAAGCAAGGTGGAAAAACACCACCTACAGATTGTTTAGACCAATGAGTTATCACACTCCTACAACTCCCTAAAAATTCTCACAAACTACTGTGAGAGGCTATTGCTGTTTCTCTCTCCCTGACCAGGCTGGCATCCACAAATACCTCTTCTATTCTTGCATTTGTCCTCTTTGTCTTTCCATGAATTTTCATTACTATTAATGCCATCAAGATTCCCACTGGCAGCTGACTAGTTTTTTCAAGGAGGCTTTCTTGTGAAGCCAGTTCCTCTAACAATGGATTTGTTAATAAACAGGTGTTTATTTTTTGATAAAACTGTGAATGCTAACATATCAAATTCAATAAAAGGAAACAATAATTTCAAAATTATTTTCATTTTTTATTTTCTCCTTTCTCAACCACATCTACAAACTTTATCAAGCTAATTTTGTGTAACTCCTCCCAGGCTGCAAAATTTCCTAACCTTGATTTCTTCAGGGAAAGAGGACTCTTCTTTTAATATGTTTTTGGTGCTTTGGAATCCCTTTGAGTCTATATTCACACAGAATCCTATAGGCTAGCAGTTCTGCAACCTTTCCTACCCCATCCTGCAGATGATTATGAAGCATGAAGGAAAGTGAGAATGACTGGCTAAAGATATTAGCAACCTTTGGAGGATATTAGGAAGCTGTGCTAAGGGAGGCTGGGAAGGAAGGGAGTAGAAATCAATAAGAAGAAACATTAGGTTAGCACCAGAGACAAAGAAGTCAAGTGGCCCCAGAGAATGACTCTGTTGTACAGTGTAGGTACAGATGAAGCTGCAGGTACATCGCACAGTTGTTCCAAAGATTTCCGCACTGTGTTCAGCTGATGTTGCAGGTTTCTAATGTAGTTAAAAGCTGTTCCTGCTTACTTCACTAGTTCTGGCCCACATACTGTTTGCAAGCTGAACAGTCTCAAATGTCCTGCTATTTTAGAAAAATAGTCTACTCAATAAACAAGTGAAACTACTATTGGAAATAATTTTTGAGATTGATCCCAAGTCTCACTGCAATTATTGTTGACTCAGAGTGAGTAAGAGAAATGATTGCCTCCTGTCCTTGAAAAAGAAACTTGACAATTCCATGATTTTATCAAATTTACTTTTCCATGCCCACACAGTAAACTACAGAAATGAGACTTAGGACCAAACTCTTATGGTGTCCAAGTTAAGTCTACACAGGGTTGCTTTTTTCCTCCTTCTGGAAATGATTCTTCATAAACCAACTGCAAACTGCTACTAGCTCCATATGTGATAATAGAGCAGCAGAAAACCATCCAATACTTATATCAAAGGAGGCAATAAGAACAAGCTGAGTAATTGGACTGGCCTGAGTAGAAAGGATCTAGCAAAATTTTGAAATGCCATTTCAGTTTGCTGTATCTCTCTATCATGTTCACCAGCATTCCTTCTGCAATTGGATTTTATTCAGTGAAATTGCTGGGGGCATCCAGATGTAATAGCAAGTTAAGCATTTGTGACAGTGTTAGAGGTTGTGATAATGGTAACAATAATCTATAAATGGAAAAGCTGTAGTCAGTTGCAGCAATCTAAAGATATGGGCATAAGAAAGATCCAGAGCTAAAGAATTGGTTTTTTCTATTGGAAAGCTTCTGCTTTTTTTTTCTTTTTTTTCCTTAGTTTGAACAAATAGCACAGATACTGTTTGACTGTATGCCCTTGTAAAAGCTAAATGAGAAAAATTTTGAAGATATAAATTAAATCTACTGATTTCATCATACAACTAATGGATGTACAGAGAAATCATATATAGGCTGGGCAGAGATTATTCTCAAATTTAGCAGAAATTGACTGTGTATTGAACCAATGAGAAAGATTCATTTCTTCTCTGTTATCGCATGTTAATCTCCTATTACTATGTTACTAAATGGAATTTTAATAATCTTATCTGTGGACTATTAAATTCCCATTTTTTTTTTTTTTTTAGAAAAAATGAAAACCAAAGAAATACAGAAAAGACAAGGCATGAAAAGAGAAAAGAACAGGATTAAATAGCTGGGAAACAAAAGTGGAAAGGCACTGATAGCAATCAAGAAACATAAGCAATAAGCAAATCTAATTTCAGAGAGAATAATCATACTGCTGAAATCTCCCAATTAGGAATGCACGAGGCTGACATCCAAGTAGCTTAAAGAAATAATCTGAAAATGAGAAGCTGTTGTTTAATACATTTAACAGTAAAATGATTTTCTCAGATGTTCAATATAAACTGCATTCCCATCAGCTCACATAACTATTGGAAAGTGCTGCATGTCTATAATTCAAACCAGCTCTTTAGCATATTGAATTGAATTTCCACTGACAGGAAGGACAGGAAAACCTTCTCCAGAAGAGCTTGTCACCTGGAGGTCTGTTGATGGGTACTGCCCAGGCAGCTCCTGGCTGACAGTCCCACCCTTTGCCGCTGCTCCTCTGCAAGGCCCTGGGCAAGTCACAGACCAGCTATCAAAGGAATCTCTGGAGCTGCCTCACCACCGAGTCTGGGCTTCTTCTGTCTACCTGAAAAGAGTGGTAAACAGCAACCCTCCCCTTCATAGGCCTCTAGAAGGGACTGGTAGCTAATACTGTACATTGCTAAAAAACACCAGATACTTAGAGTTGATACCTTGTATGAGCTGATCACTGTTTTATTCTTTTGTGTATGAATTCACTGCCAGCTCACAGATTTGTGTTGTGTTAGGCAAAATGGAAAACATCTGCCCCTCATGCAGACACCCATAAAATAAAATCAAAATACATTTAACTGCCTCTGCTACCTTTCTCATTGCCAGCCATAGGTATTTTATATTCTAAGCTGCATCCAGCTTAATGTTGTATACCTTCAGATAGTTTTTTACCCATCCTTTCTATGGATTTATGAAGCACAGTAAAACTTTTTTAATTCATGGTCTCCATAACAAAAGCAGTAGTAAGATTTTCTTAAAGGAAGAGAAAGGAATGTCTGAAATCACCACTGCCCTCATGTATCATGAGTAAGATTGAAAAAACTGAGAAACAGGAATGAGGAGGCAAAATGCTGGAGGGAATGAAGCTCTGAAAGATGCAAACTCAGAAAGAAATTAAATTCATAGACACCAGGAAAGAGAACAAGATTGGAACTAATAGTTATTAAATGTGATAATTATCAGAGGGGAAAAAAAAGGCATAGAAGAAAGGAGAGAAGACAATTCAGCAATCAGTAAGAGTATTTTAGAGAAACTAATCGAAAACTCAGAGCAACTTTGATGCCACTGCACAAAGAGAGAGACCCGAGGCACATTCAGGTTCACATAACATTCAGATGTTATCTAAAATCCCTCTTTTCATGCTTCTTTCCCAAAATGGATATACAGGAAGTGAGTGAATTAACCATGTACATAACTTCTACTTTTTTTTTTTTGTTTGTTTGTTTTTTTTTTTGTGTAGAATATTGTTTGTAAAAATCTTTGGAGATATCACACCTGTGAAAGTTTGTTTGCTTATTTATAGATAAGATAGAAGAGGTAACTGAAAGTTAATTTGATTGATCTTATATACTAAGTCATTTACTTTTCATAGTAAAAAACGAAATAGTGGTAGGGATGTTGAGAACGTCCAGCAACTACCCCAGTACATATCTTGTAAGTGTTGAAATATCCATATGCATTATAACTTTAAAAAGACTAAAAAAACTTCAC